CATGATTTAACCAAGCTCCTTTTCATCTCACCACAGTCATCATTCCTTTAATGAAGTATTCAAGGTTGGGATTTTTTTTACGTCGTTTTAGGGTTTTGGGTTGTGTGACCATCCTGACCATTTTCAATGTCTTTCTCGTAATAATGAGCTCCAGAACTAGACAGGACCTATCGGTCACGGGGAATTGACCCTTCTTCCCACCATAAACAGGGATGCCACTGTAAATATCGTGCCAGATTTCACTGCCCTGCACACCCTATTGCACCAATACTTTGTCTGATTTCCTCCTGGTTACCAGTCTTGTGTGTGTTTGATGGTCCTGGTTCTTAAGAGCTTGGGATAGGGGTTTTATTTTTTTCCCCGTTTTCTGTCTTTTCCTTTTCCTTTTTTTTGTTGTTGTTGTTGTTCTCATAACACAAGGCTCAAACACTCCCCAACACTGTAATCCTCCTTGTTTCCCATATTGGCACTTCCATCAAGAGAACATCAAGTCTAAGTTTAGAAGAAGTGCCACAGCCCTCCAGACACCCCACTTTCAGGCAGGAGAGGGGCAGAGACTTCTTTTCATACCTCCCAAGAACTAACAGTGGCCTTTGGTAAAGCATTCCCAGACTTCTCATCTCACCTCTCCTTTCCTTCCTCCTCCTCCTCCTTTGCCTCCCGCCATGCCCCCACGCAAACTCACACAATGCAGTTCTCTTCTCTGTGTGAGCATTTTCCCCCCTTTTTTTTTTCAGTCTTTAACACCCTACCGCAGTGAGGCCGTGTCCTGATTCAGGCTGTTGGGCTCTACTATTATCTATATAATCAAAAATAAAAGAGATGCTAAAAATCCAGCTGCTGGCTCTCTCTCTAAGCTCTCAGAGAAGTTCATATCCCAGCCTCTGTTTTGGTATTTTTTTTCTTTAAATGCTAGTGTAGAAGATAGCAGTAACACTAGTAGGTTTGGGGGCCCTAAATAGAAAGGGTAGGAGAAGCAGTTATCATCAAGCTTTAGCTTTGAAATGTAAACTTAGCAAAGACTTCCCTGATGAAGTATACATATGGAACTACAAAATGCCACTTTCTATCCATTTGTTTTCCTGACCATAACCACGTTTTCACACTGTCAGCATTTTCATTAGAAGCTCTTTTTGTCAGAGGTTTATAACGAGAATGTAAAGATTTGCTATGGGCTAAATCTCAATCCAAGAGCAAATGTTTATACCAATTCTGAAAACAATCAGCTTGCCCATTTGTAGTTATGCATGTGTTCATCATCTGTTACTGCTTGTCCAATGCTCTGCAACTTCTGGAAGGAAAAAGAGACATCTGGAGGAAAAAAAACCACAACTATCCTGCAGATAACATACTGTATGTTCTCCTGAGTTATTGAATAAGGTACCACATAAATGCAGGCTTTTCAGTTGATACAAATATTTTTTTGCTCAAGCTTGTCAAATTTACTGCGGAGAATATTTTAACGGATGGCTCGTACTGGTCTCCTTTTGTGCATTACTTATATAGGAGTTGCATTAAAAATTCACTGGAAATTATTCACCTAATGAACTGAGCCACTTTTATGATGCCAGGCACAGTGAATTCTTCAAAAACATTTTAGCTTATCTTCTGGACCTGAGAGCTAACAGGATTTTCCTGTCTGCCACTTCTACTGTGTATCAGTCATGAGGTCCCACGATGTTCTTGGGCTGAATTAAATTTAAGGGATGATTTACAGTTTTTATTCTTCTCTGGCTATGTTAAGCAAAAGTGTACAGCCCCATGGTATGAGCATATATAGTGACATGAAGAAAAAATTTGCATACAAAATAAATAGGTAGAACGAGCCTGACAAAACTATTTGTGTCTGTAAGCCTTACCGGTCCCCAGCATGCCTCAGTATAAACTTTATCTGGATAAACTTCAGAAAAAGGTAAAGATTATGCAGGTGTTAATCCTAAAGTTGCCTCAATTTTGACACAGAAGGTGCCTGAGGTAAGTTGTAGAGCACATCAGGAAGCTTTGTAATACGTAGTATTTACTTACAATACTCAGTATTAACATACAATACTCAGTATTATAAGAATTTACTTTATAATAGTATTAAAGTGAAATTTATAACTCAAGTGTCTTTACAGTCTATGCCTGAGCAGTGCAGTGGATGAGAGCTTTCCTTGCTGGAAAGCAATGGGTGGGTTGAGATGTCGGTGCTGCCATGTCCTGCAGAAAAGGACATGGCCACCTAAACCCAGGACAGAGGCAGATGCTGGGAAGGAAGCCCAGGGAGAGACATTTACGCCTCCAGCAGAATCTGGGAGAGCATTTTCTTCGTGGTTTCTCTGCTGTCCATAGCTCTGTGTGTATTTACAGCTGTGGGTCAGTTCAGGCTGCTGGTTGCCCTCATGCTGAAGCTGCTGAATCTCTCTCAACGCATCGCTAGGGTCTCTGAGCATCTCACTGAGGGTCAAGAGTCCCATCACTGAGCATCTCGCTGAGGGTCAAGAGTCCCATCACGGTTGCTAGGAACACAAAAATCAAGCGCTATAACACCCACCATGTAGTAAATAGTGTAAAACCTGGGCGTTTTTCCTTTTTTTAAAAGCTTGGTCTATTCAACCAAAAAAAAAAAAAATAATCCTTTGGAGGCTTGCCCCCTACCCCAGGCTTCCTCAAACAGAAAACCCCACTGCAGAGCCACGCTGCGAGTGGATTTTCCCACGCTGCCCATCCGTGCCATTCCCTGGTCCGGCAGGAGCCATGTCCCCTCCTGGCATCCCCGTCGTGCCGTGGTGGAGCCCAGCTGTGCCGGCAGCCCACGACGCCTGCACCGGCCAGCCCAGCTGGGGATGCCGCGATGCTGCCAGCGCAGGCGACGCCTCTAAGTTTACCCAGTAAACCTCAGGAAAAAGAAAAGAAAAAAAAAAAAATAAAAATTTGTGGCCCTCATTAGAGTTTCTCAGTAGACCACAGTAAAAATTAATTGCGTCGCCCCATCCACGATACGGGTACATCTCCGACCACAGCGGCTGCCTTCGCTTCTAAGCAGCTACAGTTAAACCAGTTTGAAAAGTGTGTATAGACCAGCCTGTAAAGCCGTTAGGGAATTTATTTTTTTTTTTTTTTCTTTGGCAAATAATTCATGAACAGTTATAACTCGTTGACAAATCATTGTGCAAACGATGAAAAGAGTTTTTCAGGATGGTCATGAGCACACATCTGGTATGAATGTTCTCAGAAATACTTCGCCGTGCTGGCATGCACAGCCCTTTTGTCTTTGGGAGATTTTGAGTGAATAAAAGTGCTCACCTGAATATTTGCGAACATGCAGGCACATCAGTCGATCTTCCTTGGGGAAAAAAAATAATAAAAAAGAAAAGAAAAAAATAATCACAATATTCTTTCTTTTTTGGCTTTATTCACCCAGCTCTGCTTTCATCCAGGAAGCTTTAAGAACCTAATGACTCATGAGCTAATTAACTAAGCTTTGCAAAGTACTTGTGAGATTGCTAGCATCAGTATAAATATTTCACAGCGAGTAAACTGAGGCACGCAGATTAACTTGCATAAATCAGGTACCAAAGGAAGCAGTGACAGCAGCAGCCCTCTCCTTTCCATTCCCCCACTCTACATTTTTTGCTAGCCTTCCATGCTTTTTCCAAGCTTCACATCTACCTAGTAAGGGTTAAAACAAGCTTTAAAATCCTATATGAAATCTGTGCAAATATGTGTTCTGCATAAATCTGGGCCACAAAATTAATATACTTGTATACATTTTCCTCATCTGCTATATTGCTGACACATCCAGCTTGTGGCCCAGAATGTTTTAGGGAAGAAAGGGCCATCTCTATGTTTAGTGCAATAGTTCAAGTGGAGTTATAGACTTACTGGTGCACTCAGGCTTCTCCACTAAACATAGAGAACAGCTTGGGGTACTTGGGAAATTTTCTTCAAAAATGCCAAACCGCTGGGTGTTGGTGGGGGAAGGAGGGGTGGTGTTTTAGTTTAGGTTTGGATTTTTTTATATATGAGGAATTAAAGTGCATATTCAGCGAAGAAATAAGTTTCCTTTCGTACTCTTTTATTCTTGTCAGCTATTATAATATATATGTGTGTGTATATGTATATACATCACACACAAAAATTCTGTTAAAAGAAACCAAAAAAACCCTTCAGATAAGGCTAAGGCCATCTCAAACCAATGTAGGAGGAATTTTTAAGGGCTGTGACCTGGGAGAGGCAGCTCTTTTCTAGTTTGTGACCACAGACTCCCTTACCCTGTGCCCCTAAT